TTATAAAAACAAGTTATATCCCCATACCTAACTTTGAAGGGGTGGAGAAGCCCTATTCTATCATGTTCATGGAAAATTGAGCACCAAGAATATTTGGTTACATTGCTAATAATGACTGCACCCTCTTCTAAGGAACCTGTATATACATGCCTCTAATGAAACTAGAAACTTGCCCTGACTTCATGAAATTCAGTTTGCAAGAGCATCACTCACTGAGTAAAAGATAGGTATTAAGCATATACTCATGTCTATTCTGAATTCTCTTCGCTTCTTTCTAATTCTAATTGCCGAAGTGGTATCCTAGTTTGCTTCCTATACTACAGAAAGGGAGTGTAATGCTGAACTCTAAGAAAAGCTCCAAATGCTTTGAGAACAAATTTCTACATTTAAAAAGCTATCTCTAACTCCTAAGATGTAAAATGTTTATTTGGGAGGCAACATAGAAGGCAGCGTTAAAATGTGGCAGGATCTTATTATAAACTGAACTCCCTCAGTGGGGATACACACCTAAGAGAAAAGACACGCTGAATCTGGGGAATAATTAAGCTTTGAAGGAGGCAAAAATGCCTGTAACAGGTTTTTTTTGTTTTGGTTTGGTTTTGGTTTTTTTTCAGTTGCACCTCCTACTACTAGAGTCTAGGTATTTTCATTTTTACTTCTCACTAAAGGGAAAAGAAATTATATGCACTTGAATCCAGGAAACTAGCTTTGATGCTAGGGGTTGGATGTTTTCTGTATGTACAGAAGATCTTTTAAAACTTACTGGTGTTTGGGTTCCTTTTCCTCTTTAGATTCTTCTTGGGATGATGTTTATTTCTCACTCAATGATGTATATATCCCTCCTTTCTTCACTCCAGGCTGTGGGTGGTTATCCTAAGTCAGCTCGTTCAAGGCTCTTGGGAGTAATACATGCTTTTTCCTTGGCACTCCTTTCTGTGAGATCTCTTTTTATAGCTTCTCCTCACCAAAAGAAACAGGGCAAGTACACCATTTAACTTGACTTAATTTAGACCTTCAGCCAAAAGAACAGAAGTGGATAATAAACCTTATGCATGGCCTAATCCTTCCAACCACACTCATATGTTGTAAGGGTTTTTTATTCACAGGGTATTGGCATCAAAGGATAACAATTATAACCAGGGGGTCCAATTTTCTTGGAGATTCTCCTAAACTCACTGCTAACTCAACAATGCACTCCCAGTTGACATTAAGGCAACTCAGGGAGGGGGCAAGTTTTTGCCCTTCAGTATCATAACTATTTCCATAAAAGATAGTGCTTAGAGTTTAATTATGTTTCTGGCTCTTTCCTTAATAATATAAATAGCATTGTCATGTTGGCTGATAAAAATACAGATGCTAGTACTTGACCTTAAGAAATCAGGAAAAACCACTGGGAAGGAACGTTTCCTCTAACGGAAGAAGGTTGAATTATGTCTGTGCATGCATGCTCGCAAACACTTGCACCCACCTATGTAAGTATAGACTCTTTCTCCTTGTACATAACTGTGACCACCCACAGGGAATGGCTCCCATTACTTATTCAGCCTCCCTCCTTCAAAAGCAGTTTCCAGAAGAATAGGTATATTATATTCTTTTGTCCACCCCTTTCAGCTTCAAGACTAGTGCTTGTGAAAAAACTGTGATAACTTGAGACCCAAGGTCTGTACTTAGTCACAACAAACGAGGCTCACTTTGGTCACGATGGGGGAAAAAGGCCTCCTCTCTATGTCTTCCTCGTTCACCCTGCAGTATGGCTGTGGAGAGGAATTTGAAGCACTTATTATCTGCCTTCTTTTTGTCCAGATAATTAGCTGGGCAACTGTTTGCCCTCAGCTTATTCTGAAAGATACATCTAAATCCTAAATCCCAAAAGGTGATGACTGCCAAAATCTTTTCTTCCAATGTCACTCTTTGGTGCTATGGTTGCCACTTTCCCATTATTGTTAAGAGCCAGAAAGATATTTTTTTTCATCAGAATTTCTGTCAATGATTCCTACTAGAGGAGCGTAAGGCATTTAGAATTGCCTGTGATATAGTAGACCAAGAAATTCTAAGGTCAACGATGTTTCTGGGGAACATTTCAGACTGAAGAGAAATAAGGGAAAATGTTACAGGTTATAATATGTGATTTTCATATACTTTTGATTTTAAGTTTTAAAAAACCTGAGGGAGGACCCCTACCTCCAACAGATACAGGTAGCTTAGCCTCCATTTGTTACAGATAACATCATCTGTCTAAGTCATAATATGTTTTCATGCCAAAACAATCTGTAGCTGGTTTGTTATTTTGTAGCTTTTTAAAAAAAGTATGGGTACAAGCCAACTGGCTCATTATATTAATATGATCATTTCAACTAGGAGTCAAGTCTCTAAGGCTTAGTAGCTGTGAGACATTATTCATTCTCTCTCTCTCTCTCTCTCTCTNCGCGTGCGCGCGTTCACACACACCCGTGCAATGAAAACTGTCAGTAGTAACCTCCAATAGCTTCTGTGTGCTGCAGATGGCAGGGCTCCCTGTTACCTTCCCAGATCGGTGTAGGATCAAAAGAACATCCAACATCGGGGGGGCCCCCAGGACTAGGTAGATTTCCGGATCCCTCTCCCCCAAGGCTGGTTCAGCGAGCCCGGCACGGTCAGTCAGCAGAGGTGTCTGCTTGCAGGGTGCCCCGGATTATGGCAAGGTTATTAATCTTGATGTGCTGCATCCCCCACCCCCAACACTCGGCAGGCTGCATAGAGATGATTGCCAGAGCTCTGTCTGTCCCTGTTCCACTGCATTTCGCTCAGCCCTCTGATGCTGCAAGTGAGACACGGTGGAGGCAAGAATACTAATAAGGTGGTTAGCTACAGTTTCTTCAAGGCGGTCGGCGTGCAGTACAGTAAATGTGTACTTCCCAGTGCTGTGTGTGTGTGTGCCTGCGTGTCTGCAGGGAGGGCAGTGAATCCATCTCCGGCCAGAAGGCGAGATGGCTTGTATCCTGCCCGGGAGGACTATATCATTGGAATCGTCCCTGTCCTGCCATGGCATGGTCGATGACAGCATTTTGTTTGGGATAAAACAAAAGGGGGGGGCGGTAATGGTTTAGAAGCCTAGGGCTGGTATTTGAATGAGAGAGAGAGGGAGAAAGAGAGAGAGAGAGAGAATGTCCAGGGAGACAAATTAGCTTTATAAATAGGCTCCAAGGAGACTAAGGCAAATTTTTAACATGCTGCTGCCTGGCTGTTAAATGGAAATACAAAGCAATTTCAAAAACGAGCTCCAGCCTATAAATCTTGGAGCTGGCAACAAGTATCTGAATTTGACTGATGGGACTATGGATAAATGGATTCCTGGTAATATAAAAAGTTTGCTCATGCATTCTGCTTTGCAGCCATGTCCCCGATGTGTGCAGGAATCTAGGTACAGTTCATTCATTTTCAATATGGATCTAGGCTCTATTCCTTCTCAGTTTTACTCTAATGCACAGTTTTTATCACATAACTATCGCATTGTAGAGAAAGTCTGAGTGGCATTATTATGTCACTTAGGAGGACTGGTTGATCATCGTCAGTAGTGTCATCACACATAACACTTACACGGAATGAATTTGGAGTTTTCAGGGGGAAAAAAAAGTATTATATGTCTTTTAGTACCAAGATGCAAAAGAAAATATATGCATAATATTCTAAGTGTATGTAATTCCTCGCCCCCTGGAAGGCTGAAGTTTCCTCTTCTACGATTGGGTCTCACATCACAATACCTCTTCTCTAGTTAAGAATACTCACTGAGTTCCTTAAAGTGAATTAAATTGGTATTATCTGAGTAAATGAGTATTGGACAATTGGAGAAGGCAGATAAGAGTGAATTATAGAGCACTGTAATATCAGTTATTGCCAGCAGATGTCACAAAAGATGATACAGGTAAAAGAATTCTACCAACTGCAAACATTTAACCTAACTGGGTAAGCACAGATTATAATTAAATTTATAACATTAATCTGAAGTACTGAATTTTTATAAATTCTAAAGGTTCAGATAAGATCTTGGAGAACAAACTGCCTTTTATTTTATTTTTTCCCAATGTCCCTTTCAAATTGCTCTTACATAACTCTAATAGATTATCTGCTATTAATTTTGGAAAGAAAAAAAAACAAAACTACACCACTCACTGACATTAGATTTGCATCTAACATTATTTCTGGGACTTAGGATTTTTTTTTTATTCTATAAAATATAGCATTCAAATATCTTCTTGTTTGTAGTACAGCAACCTCTAGATTAAACTACGAAACAGAGAAGTGGGAGGAAGTAAATTAGGTGATTAAAATTCATACATAAAATGTTTAAGGTTTTTATTTTAAAGCAATAATTCTGTTTCATCTCGATCATATCTATTAAAAATTCAGTTGAAAGGACATGTTCATGTTTGGGAGCTGAACGTTATTAATAAAGAGTGGAACTAGATAAAGTCTATAAAGAATTTTGACTCATCCTTGTCAATTCTACTTATTTTAATAAGTGAAAGGTTTTAATAACCTAGCATATCATCTTAGCATTTATTTATCTAAATGCAATTAAGTAGTACCCACCAAATTCCAGCCATAATTGGCCCAAATGCCAAAAAAAGATAATGTTAAAAACTTAGACATTAGAGTCCAGACAGACCTCGGTTCAAACTTCAGTTCTGCCCCAGGTGGTTAATCTCCGCAAGTCTTTCTCTCCACACACACCCCCTCCCTTTTTTTTTTTTTTAATTTCACTTGCAAGCAGGACATTAAAATTAATATGTATCTAATAGGATTGTCGTGAGGACTGGAATGAATTACGATTTAGAATGTACCTAGCATATTCCCTGATACATAATAAGTGACCTATAAGTATTACATATATATTATAAATAAAGTCGATTTTTTTTCTTACTATGTTAGCTCTTGTCTTTGTTGGACACCAGGTAAAACAAGTGGAATCATTTAACCAATCTTTTTGACACGGAAATATTTTGTTTTTAAATTTATTTTTACAAATAGTTGTTTCCATCTTGTTATAAACCTATAGTTGAGTAATGTGGGACCACTTTTTTACACTCATGCAATTATCCACACACTCCAAGACTCACTATAGCAGAGAAATCACTTTCTTGACTATAGTCTGAGATCACTTTGACACAAACAGAACATTTAGAAAGAAAATCTGATGGCAGTTTCACTGCTTCCCCGTCAAGACTTGCTTTGAAGCCAACAAAACTACGAAGCACTAAAAAGTAGAATAAATGCTTAACAACACAAAATGCCATCTCTGGAATTTTTGGAGCGTAGCCATTCCACGGCAGATTATCACAACTCAGATGATCATTTTTAACGTAAGCGTCTGGATATCGAATTTCATCCAACAATTGTTATGCATTCAACAAACACTTTTCCAAGGAAAAGGAATACCAAGAATATGACTATTGTTATTTTAACACCTCAGGTGAAACCTGAAACTGACTCCCTACACAGAGGGCAATGAGAGACCTAAGAAAGTGAGGACAGTCCAGATTGGTAGGTGGCAGTTTTCATAAACAAGGAAATTTACTTACGAGTCTGGTCTGTCTGGTGCCACAAAACAAGTTGACCTCTGCACCCGCCTGCCAGAATCTTCAANTAAAGACCAAGGATGGGACAGACTTATTTTCCTACCTAGAAAGTAGCTCAGGAATGCTGGAACCAAACAAAGTGGTAAACTCTGTGCCTTGTTTTCCTCATCTGTAAAATGGGACACTGAGAGCCCTGCCCTGCCAGGTGGTTGTGAAGATGAGTTGATGCATGTAAAGCACCCGGAACATATACCGCCCGGGTTACAGTAAAGATTCTATAGGCTATACCACCCGCGTGACAGTGAGTATTTTATAAGTGTTAGCTGCTGTTGTTGTTAAGCCCAGAAACTCTCTTGGGCATTAGCAACCTGAGTTATTTCCATTTCCAGAGTTATCAACCATGGTGTTTATACTTTAATTGCCTAGTTTATCTGTTAACAAAAGATAGAAGGTATAAATAAATCTTATGGAAACTGAGATGCTATGACATGACTCGTGTCATTTTTTTAAGAATATAATTACATCTAAGAATGACATTAATGATTGTGTTTTTCTTAATTCTCAGCATTTATGGATATATTATGTCCTATTACAAAAAGGCAGAATTGTATAATAAGCCAGAATGAATGGAATTAATATAGGGCCTTTTATACTGTACCCTAAGCACTATAGATTCTAACTGTAAAACCTGTAATTTTTCCATTTTCCATTTCATTAATTCAGAGAAAGACAGATTGTGGGGATAGAATCCATAATGGGTCTGACATGAATCTAACTGACATGTGTTGTTATTTGGAGGAATAAAGGAAAAATAATATAAATTATGTTAAACGATTTCTGTTGGCAGTGTATCTTTATCTGACAAGTCCCATCTCCACCACCCACTAGCCCTGTAACCTTGAGAAAGTTGCAGGACTTCTCTGGGTTTAGTAGGAAGTTTGAGACATTATTGGACTATCACTTCAT